ACTTATCAGAATTTCTGACTAATTCCGTTGGTTTCAATGAAAAATATAACAACAAATAACAGTACACAGATTGTCAGAATGTTTCCGATTACTTACATTCACACTTATGTATATACGAACCCTGAATCAACGAAAGTCTCCTCGTAAAATCCCGTGCACTGTTCACAAATTTTCAACTAGCCGTTTTGTAAAATTCGGGCACCAGTAGTGATATCAAACGTCAACATATTTGTTGTACATATTTTGTAATTTCTCTGAGGTGAAGGTCATTGAATGAACGTACACACGATCATTGTTTACTGCTTTTTACTGTTTCATGATGTAAATTTTGCATATCTTTTGTACATTTTTTCACACAAATAATTTCACTTTGGATATTAATCAATGTTCAATGTTATATCATACATCTTTATTGTATAATTTTGAGACAAGATGATGAGAAATAATTACATTATAATACAAATACATACTTGATTACATAATATTGATGCCAAACAGGCGCTTGTCTTGTCCAATTAAGATACACTGTAAACTATTCAAGATATTATTTACACAGTAAACGCAGTCTTTTATATGTTGTGTCGAAAAAGCGCCCAATTCCGTTTTACACTCTTTTTCCATACCATGATCGAAAATTAGGGGAGATGTGTATTAATCAAAATACCAGTGTCATCTTTCTCCGACATTGTCAAATACATAAAAGCAGCCATGACGTCAAATAGAATGGTGTCATTTTTAAGTAATTCATTACATTTGATTACATTACATTAGTGCTCAATTAATTATGGTACAACATTAGTCAAATTACACTTGCACAATCAGGAGAATATTGGAATCTTAGGACGAATTCGCTATTAATTATTTTTTATGAAGTACACTTTCGTCATTTCTAATGGGTTATTTATGCCTAATCATATAAAGTTTTAATATCGATATTTCTGTTGGAATAGTTTGGTTCCCCGTGAACAAAACACCACGGAAATGAATTGTCCTTACCCACAGCTAATTTTCACCAAGAGACCTTAGTTACAATACACTAGTGCAAAACATAACGGAGTTATGCCCCCTTTTCTTTGAATGCGTGTAACCTCTCTGTTGCCTTTGACGTCATTGAGGTAAATTAGTTTTCGTCATTTACAGCAGGCTATTTTTTGCATTGAATTTATGTTGTTATACACACGCATATAACTCCATTTGATATGTAGTTATGTCTTTCAAATATTAAACAGTATTTTGTTCGCTCACAGTTTCGGTAAAGCTGCTAAATAAAAAAGGTCGTCGCTCAGTACTTTTATCGGTGTTTGCTAACACGCGGAGACATTTCCTGTTTTTCAACGCAGAATAAATTCTCACGCAACCTTCACTTTTCCGATCCTAGGCAAATGTACGTCAGAAAAAAACCCCTCAGCATCCAATGATTATCGTAGTACGGTTTAACGTGCTCGCGTCCCTATGGCGACAGTCTTAGACTTAGACTTAGCTAAGATTTTGCTAAGACCGTTTCAAGAGCCAGTCTTAGACCAAATCTTAGCTAAGCAAAATCTTAAAAACTTAAGACAAAATTCGTGCTTAGCAAAATTTGAGCAAGGACCACTTTCATGATCCCGGGGCCAGGTTGGCGCAACGTCTTAGCTGACACCCTGTCAAGACCTGATCGTCCTTCCCCCATAGAGTGGATGCTCCACCCGGAAACCTGCTGCTTCTTGTGTGATCGCCTGGGGACTCCCAACGTGGATCTCTTCGCAACGGTGTGCAACCACCAATTGCCGGTGAATGTGTCTCATGTCCCGGACCCAGCTGCTTGGGCGGTAGACGGCCTCGCTCTGTCCTGGGTCGGCCTAAGCGTGTACGCTTTTCCGCCCCCAGTTCTTCTCCCCCAGGTCATTCAGAAGGTGGCCTGGACCTGTCCTCTTGATCTGATTTTGGTCGTGACTTACCGGCCATCCCGGAGTTGGTTTCCCAAGCTCCTTCAGCTCGGGGGAGAACCCATGTTGTGTTTCCCGTCATGGCCAGATCTGCTGCTCAATCCTCACACCGGACAACCGCATCCAGACCCTGACGGTTACAGTCTGCACGTTTGGCTTGTCTCCAGAAGTCACTGATCGCTGAAGGTTTTTCAGCTCCTGTGGCGGCGGCTGTTTCCAGAGCTCATCGTCCCTCCACTTGCTCCCTATATGATGACAAGTGGCGATCGTTCCAGGCCTTCTGCTTGTCCAGGCACATCATTCCAGTGAAGGCTACCGTTCTACAAGTGGCTGACTTTTTGGTTTTCCTTTGCCAATCCTGTCACCTGGCTGGTTCCTCGAATGTGACCTATCTTGCTGCGCTCAATTCTGTCCTCAAGATAGCTAGAGGTTCCAGGCTATCATCAGTCCCGGCCCTTTTTGCCATGGTCCGAGGTTTTCCACTGGGGGACCAGACTAAGAAGTTCCGCCCCCAGCTTGGGATCTCAATGTTGTTTTGCAGGATTTATGCCGGGCTCCATAAGAGCCACTTGCGTCTGCCTCGTTTGAAGATCTCACCTTGAAGACTTGCTTTCTCCTGGCCCTTGCAACAGCTGCCAGGATTAGCAAGCTTCATGCCCTAGATGTGACCCGTGTCCGGTTCAACCAGCGTCCTCACGGTTTGGTTCACCTTGGCCTTTGTTGGGACTTAATCGCCAAAAACCAACTGCAGTTTCACGTCCCGTCTCTTTCTGAGATCATCGGCCCGGATGATGACCTGGAGCTCGCCCTCTACCCAGTTCGGGCCCTCCAACGTTATCTTCAGGTGTCTTCAGCAACATCGCAAGCAGCGCCAGAGGCTGTTCATCCCTCTTTCCAGCCATGGCTCTGCAGGTATCTCTCGTAATACAGTCTCCCTTTGGCTTCGTTCTGCTATTCTGAGGGCTTATCGTCGTGCTGACTTACCACCACCAACAGCCTCCAATCCACATGAGCTCCGTGCCGATTCCGAGGAACGTGGCTGTCTGTGGCCCCACTGGCCCCGCTGACCCTAATACCAAGGTTGGAACATCCCTTGTGCTGTTCCTCTTTGGTTGCTGGGTACTGTTATGTCGGTACCTAGTAAAGTTTTGGTCCGGTTTTTCCCCCTCTTTTTGAGCCGGACACGGAATACCTTGCTTTTACCCTCTGTCAAGCATTGTTCTCTCTACCGTTCCGAGAGGTCTTGACCTGCATCTTATCCCCTTGCCTACCGTTCCGGGAGCCGCTACCTTGCTGTCACCTGCTGGGTTTCCTGCCGGACGGTTTAGTTGTGCTTTTTCAGGGTGCCTGGCGCTTCTCACGGTAAGCCCGCCTTCCATCAGTCGAATAAAGCACTGTGTAGCGTCTGGTAAGGTAAAACATGAGCATTTCTGATTAAATGCAATGTTTTTATACTTACCTGACGCTACACCTATAGGCCCACCCGGACTCCATCCTCCTCCTCCGCCTTACCGTTGGCACAACTGTGTACTCTACGTCTGATGTCATCCAGTTAAGAATATGAGGAGGAGGGGCCAAGGGGGATAACTTGTGGATGCCTAGGCAGGGGCTGTAGTCTGCTTAAACTGTCTCTTCATTCCAGTACTGTCTGTTTGTATAAGGTAGGGAAGCTAAAGCACTATGTAGCTTCAGGTAAGTATGAAAACATTGCATTTAATCAGAAATGCTCATTTTCATAAAAAGTACTTATGTTTGTTTTTTTATTTCATGTTTTGTCAAAGTTAGACTGTGAAGTGAAAAGTGTTTTCCCTATTTGTTGCATGCTCCACTATGCTAAACATCTTCCTATTGTAAAATCAATCTGCATTATTCAGTGTCTTTCGTTGACTATATCTTTACAGATGTTTGATGAGATGTTCAAGCATGAAATACATTTTAATCCAATTTGATGGAAGTGGTTGTTCATGTTGACTGTTGTGAAACACCTAGCAAACGATCACTATTTTTCCACATGGAACAGTCTAAAAAGAATTCCAATCTAATAAATGAATACGAGTAATTCTTCACATATTTGCATTTCTTTTGTCGGTAAGTATATAAAGCACCCTGGACAGTAAACATTAATGTAGTTGTGTAATATCAGGATATATACCATGGGGCACACCAACAACACAAAATCTGTGAAAGTCTTATTTGTTTTTTAACTGAGATCTGAAACTTCATGATATATACATGAGGAACATACTGTAAATGAGATTTGGTCATGCCATGCCAATGAAAAGTGAACCCCAGATAGAGCATCTGCAGTGAGAGTGAATGGTCAGTAGTTTGATCTCATGTCCTGTCTGATGTTGGGCTATACGACTCACAACCGTGACGACTACACTGCATAGGACTTTCAGCTCACTTGAAGCTGATGAGCAGGCATGGCACTATCTTAGCTTATTATCCCCCGCCATTATTCCATCCGTCCATCCGCCACATTTTGTTTCCGGGGGACAGATCTTGAAAACTACCATATTTCTTCACCAAACTTGGCACATAGATAGGTCTAGTGGTGAACTCGTGCCTTTTGATTGTTTTTGAATTTTAGAAAAATTATTTTTCGAGTTTCCATGGCAACGACTTTGACTTAGATTTAAAATGGAGGGTGCCTCGTTTCCGGAGCAGATCTTGAAAACCATACCATATTTCTTCACCAAACTTGGCACATAATGTCATTCCACAGTATGGAATACATTTCCTTTCTTGTTGGCAAGTTCTGCATCTCTAGTGTGTATGTTCCTCCAAAAGTGTCATGGACAGTTGTTTTCACAGACTAACTTCATGCAGAAACACAACTCATTACAATTACAACAGTGTAAGTGATCTTAAACCTACTCAACTGTATAAACACTGCCTCCTATCCTGTATATATTCTTGTCAACCATACTGTGTACTTCACTTGCTTGATAACGGTGTTGGAACCTACACCAAAACCACCGCTCTTAGTTGTAATATAGAAGTTGTTCATCCATATGTCAGTATTAGCCTGGATTTGATCATGTTGATGGAAAATTGATCTTTTACTTCCAGATAACCGACTGAAGCTAACAATGAACAAACTGGCTGTGCAACTGTATATAGACATCTGTAGCTGTAAACCATGCCGGAGCGAAGTTGCAATGGCAACAACTGTCATCATCTGTAGTGGTCAAGGATCTGTTATGGATGTAGCAGAGCAGTCCAAGTATCTGGGATGACTCTTCAACATTCCAAAGACCACGGTCATGTACTATGACTCATGATTGCTGTCAATGTGTACACATATTTATGCTCATTGTTACATAAAAAATGGATGAATTGCTTAATTTTGGAACAAATAAATGAACAATTTGTCACCTCCCTAATAAATATTTCTACTTCAGAAAGTTAAGGAAGCATTACATGCAAATGCCTACTTTTAGCTGCTAATGTAACTATTCATACCTCATTTGGAAATTGATGCACTTTTATTACAGGGTCTGTCACACTCTTTGTCTATACCGGTAAACTAGATGTCAGCATGGATAAGGGAATATTTGAGAACCATGAGCTATATTACTTGATCTAGTCAAACCAAAAGATCCATTTGGTACTGTTTTACTATTTTTTATTCAGTTATCAGAAGATAGTAATAATGGCAGAACTGATTTACATGCCAGGTGTTATGGTGTCCCAGTCTATGTAGATGATGATTTTATCGTGGAAGATCACCTGCTTCAGTTTGTAGATGTGCATTTCCCTCTTTCAGTTGTACATATTTCTATGGAATCATTAGCATGGAGCACCATCAATTCATTGCCACACCCACCTGGGGATAAAGAAGGTAGTGACATGAGGAAATATATTTGGTCATTATGTCAATCATTATATCTGTTATGTACATGGGAAATAAATGGTTCAATTCCGACATCAGTGTTGTCATGTTATTAACCCAACAAAAGCTGAAGGAATGGTGATTGGGCCACCATTTACAAATGTGAAGCTCATTCTTGGCATCTTGTCACATTATCTAGACAAGGAGTCCTTGAATCCTCTGCCTGTAAGACACCACCGGTTTTTGTTTTCCTCCACACATGCAAAGCTTTATTTCAAGGACTCCATAATGAAAACAAATGATCGTACGGGCAGGTTATGTTCTGGGTATGATGCTGCACTAGGACGGACAGGTCCTACTTCGGGGATGCTGCACTAAGGCAACCTGGTCAAAGTCCGGAACGACGCTACACGAAGACAGACAGGTCATAGTCTGGAATGATACTGCACAAAGACAGACAGGTCATAGTCTGGTATGATGCTGCACTAAGACAGACAGGTCATAGTCTGGAATGATACTGCACTAAGACAGACAGGTCATAGTCTGTTATGATGCTGCACTAAGACAGACAGGTCATAGTCTCGTATGATGCTGCACTAAGACAGACAGGTCATAGTCTCGTATGATGCTACACCAAGACAGCCAGGTCCTTCTTCGCGTATGATGCTGCACTAAGGCAGCCTGGTCAAAGTCTGGAACGACGCTACACTTAGACAGACAGGTCATAGTCTGGTATGATGCTACACCAAGACAGCCAGGTCCTACTTCGGGTATGAAGCTGCACTAAGACGGACAGGTCATAGTCTGGTATGATGCTACACCAAGACAGCCAGGTCCTACTTCGGGTAAGATGCTACACCAAGAGAACCAGATCATAGTTCGGTTCGATGCAACACTAACACATCCAACAAAGGTTATCAGGAAAATGCTACACTAACATACCCAGGATATTTTTCAGTTGGGATGCTGCGCTGAGACAGCCAAGTCATGATTAGGCTACGATGCTACACTACCACATCAAATCATGGTTCGAGAAACTTTCATGCAACACTAACAGTGCAATTTGTACATGGTTGTGTGAGTACATGGGCACACTCAGGCAAAGCTTTGTGTATGATGCTGCTTTGAGACAGCTTGCCAACGGTTCAGGTACAGATATACACTAAGACAGACAGGCATGGTTCGGGACAATGCTTCAATAACATAACCAGCCCATGCTTCCGATATGATGCAACACAATTCCATTCAGGACATGGTTTGAGTACAGCGCTACACTAAGGCCAGGTTATAGTTCGGGTACAATATTCAGGGACGGGGCAAGGTTCTGGAATGATGCTACACTAGATTAGGAGAGCCTGGTCAAAGTCCGGTACGATGCTAAACTAAGACAGCCAGGCTATAGTTCGGTACGATGTTCAGGGACGGGGCAAGGTTCTGGAATGATGCTACACTAGACTGGGAGAGCCTGGTCAAAGTCCGGGTACGATACTAAACTAACAAAAGTAAACCCTAGTTATACTGAGACAACCAGGGTATGGGTCAGGTTCGATGCTACACCAAGACAACCAGGTTATGGTTCGGGTTCGATGCTACACCAAGACAGTCAGGTCATGGTTTCGGTACGATGTTACGCAGGTTAATGTTCAAACCCCGCGGGGATTCCAATGTAGCCTATGCTTGTCGTAAGTGACCAGACTCGGTAACTGGCTTGATTGGTACCATCGTACTTCTACCGCGTAGATCGTTGCTAATTATACAAATTACTGGTTTGCCTGGTGAAATCTAGATTATGTACAAGCAGTCGTCATATAGGTGGAATATTGCTTCGTGTCACGTTAAACAAAAAAGCTTCAATATTCAAAGCGCGTTCAAGTTTAATGCGTAAAAAAAGATGAATTACAATCTTATTAACTAATGTTAAACCGTGTAGCTGAGTACACTATATGTGCTGGATATAACATAAACAGCTTTGGTAAAGTTGGTATTTAACTGAATAAATTGTGTGGGAGTATCATACCAGTCTTTTAGAGGTTTAATAAACCAGAATATATGTACGTCATTAGGGTAATTCAAAACCCATAATATTTATTGATCTTTTTACAATAGCTTACTTTCATCGAGAGTTTTCCTTTACCAATATCGAAATAATTTGTTCGAATCTCTTTGTGTTTATGATTTGTGGTATACAAACTATCACATTGTTGTGAATATTTATTGAGGAATCGAATATTTTCCAACAATTATTTTTTCCAGTTATCTGTTGTTAATGTAATAATTTTTTAATTTGAAGTTTACACGATATACGGCTTTTCCATTAGACGAGAGGTCGGTCACATGACCGCGAAATTGACGTTCATACGTTTTTCACGAGACCGTGTTCTTGAAATGACGTAAACACTGACGGACTACTTCAAAATTCCTGGGGAAACCCCTGGGAATTCCCTAGCACGAAAACATACATACAAGCATTATTTCTGATCATTTAGAACCTTTAATCTTGGTCTCAGCATTTCAGTATACATTGAGAAACGTAAGAGAGCTTGACTGCATGATTGTTCACGAATTTCCTCGCTACGGCCCATCCTAATGAACAAACGAAAAAATGCACATCCAAACTATCGTCAGTATCGACTCGATCTGTGTCTAGGCTGACAGTGACCGTCTCCAGCAATCTACGAATTTACCTTGGTGTCTGTTTGACGCATCTTTAATCACCTTTCAATAATCGGTCAGTTGATCAATGATGACTAACACATGTAAACGCTTCAGGTTCATTAACAACTTCGGAAATCCTCCCGTCACGTTTATCGTGTCGGCCATTTTGACGTCTTGTACTTGATGTAAATGTATTACGACGCGCTGTCATTGTGACTGACTTACTGAAATAGTTCATTACAGACCTTTCTCATCTAATGGGGATATTATATGAACACATGTGTTGCGTAAGATGTTTCTGAAGAGCAAGTTCTGCATCCATACGCTCATGTCACCCCTCTTTTTGGGGAACTATTTTATTCCGGGATATAGCTAGTTGTTGTTCGGCTGTCAGTGTGAACATGAGGTCACACGTACTAAATAAAATTGTGTTTAGATCTTGGCCTACGTCCTTTGAGGAAAGAAATTGTGATAAAAAATTATAAGAATTGACTTTCACTTTCACTCCGACGTTCATACAGTTTGGACCTCACTCTATGCAGGTTCATACTCCAATGAACTCACACAAAGTGAAGGTCAATTCGTAAATGAAGGTAAGTGACGCGGATGTGACATAACACAGAGGCGTGTGAAGGGTTATCTTAGAGAACCAGATAATCACCCAAAAATATATTTGTAGCAATATGAAATCAGGTTAAGATATATTACCACTGCTCTAAGATTTATATTAAAACCATCTATACAAATCTAACCGTTAATATCTAATCAAGCGAATATAAACATCAATGTTAAAGCAATAGTTATGGAAGTGGATTATCTCTCTATATATACCCCAGAATAATGTCTGACAAAATCAAATTTATAGGTACGTGTAGATAATAAAGCTATCACGTAAGAGGCGACTAAAGGGATCGGGTTGTCAGGCTCGCTGACTTGGTTGATGTATGTCATCGATTCCAATTGCGTGGATCGATGTTCATGATGTCAATCACTGGATTGTCTGGTCCAGAGTAGATTATTTACAGACCGCCGTCGTATATACTGAACAACAAAAGTTCCTGTGACATTGAATAAGATTTAATGCAAAGTTATGTTTTTTACCAAATCTGAAACAATTTCGATTTGCAACAGATAAAATACTCCTGTAAGTGTTCAAATGGTTGATTTGCCACACTGACTTCAGAAAATGCGTGATTTCATGAAAAACTTGAACATGCCAAAATGTCAATTTACAAATCAATAGCGTGTGTCCACCTCTGGTTGCGATGCAAGCAACACATCTTCGTCTCATGGAATGGACCAGGCGTCGCACAAAGTCCTGTGGGATATCTGTCCGTATCTGCTGGAGCATGTTTCGAAGTTCCTGGAGTGTCTGTGGAACACCCGGTTGACGTCGAAGGCGCCGATCCATCTCATCACACAGGTGCTCGATTGGTGAGAGATCAGGGGAGCGAGCCGGTCAGGGGATGACATTCACTTTGTTTTGTTGAAGAGAATCCTGAACAAGTCTAGCAATAGGAGGACGGGCGTTGTCATGTTGAAAGGTAATGCCTGGGCCATGAAAACGGTAGAACAACAGGGCCGATGATTTCGTCGCGGTAGCGCTGTCCATTGAGATTTCCCTCTAGCTACCACTATCAAACGGGTCCTCTGTCTTGCTGTAATCCCACCCCATACCATAACGCTCCCGCCCCCGAACCGATCTTCTTCCATGACACAATGATTGACGTAACGTTCACCCCGACGTCGGTACACTCGAATCCGTCCATCGCTGTGGCTGAGGTGAAAACGAGACTCGTCAGTGAATAGAACTTGTCCCCACTGCATGGCCGTCCAGCGTAGACGCTGTCTACACCACTATAGACGTGCTTGACGGTGGTTTCCTGTCAATGTGGGACGTCTGGCGGGTCTTCTGGCGACAATCCCTGACATCTGAGGCGACGACGTACGGTTTGTAAAGATATTCGTCGAAGCCCGGGATACTTCTTGTATTCACTGTTGCTGGCTGGAATCGATTTCGTAGGTGTGTTGTTCGAATCCAGTTATCTTGTCGATTATTGGTTACGCGTATCCTTCCACTCCGAGGATGGCCTCTGACGGCATTCGTCTGTTGCCAACGTTGCCATAAACACCTAATGGTGATTCTGTGGACGTTAAATTGTCTTTCAACATCACGTTGACTCGACCCTGCTTCAAGCATACCAATGGCTCGCAGACGCTCATTTTCGGACAGGCGTGGCATTTCGTAATGTTGAATAATTGCGTAATTTTGTTGTTTTTCTGAGTGGTTGTTGTCAGCACGATGCTAAACAATGCATATGGAATCCCGTTAACGCACATATTTTTATACCGATTCTTGGGTAGTGAAATGCATGGGGCTTGCATAAAAGTCAACTTTTGCATGGAATGCATGCATTTCTGTAGCAGTTGCGTTTTTG